ATTCTGATTACTCCAGCCAATCAGAGCGACCTGCTGGACTCGCCCAGCCATCAGTCTCTCCGCAGCCACACCATCCGTATCCTCGTCACAAAGCATCTTCGTTAGAGTCTCCAGCAGACACTTCTCGTTCCAACTCAGCATTTTCTTTCAGGTCTCTCTCGGCAGAACTCAGCCTTCTGCATCCTGACCTGCTACAAACCTGTCGCGCTGTCACAGCCTGCGAACCTGCGCGTGTTCATCCCGTTACAGTCAACCCCCCTGTCCCCTCTTCTGTCACCACGCTCTCCCTCTTTCTGCATCGCTCTCTACCCCATCCTCCTCGCCACTCCGTAGCGCACTCAAGCGCTCGCCACATCGAACCACTCCTGTGATGGTGGTCGAGGACAGGGACTGGAAATGGATTTTGTGTGTGGGACAGACGGGCATGGAGGATCGATGAAAGGGTTTGGAGTGCAAGGTGGTCTGTGTGGAGCTGATGCTGGCTGCTCTCCAGCATTTGCAGCAGGAACGTTGAAGCGGAGGGTGTCGTTTTCAGACAATCTCCATGTGATCTGCTTATAAAGCATTGGTGGTGTTGGAATTCATTAGTCCCTCTAGATGCTGGATCCCCAGTGTTTGCGTCTTCTTTTCCCGGAATGTGATGGGCTCTCGTGTATCGTTTTCCCCGCATTCACGTGCCCTGTTGACTTGTCGCACTTCTTGGCAGTGTACTTGGTGCAATGTTGTACTTTGGGGTTGCATTTCTATCAGGTGGTATACAGAGAAGTGTAGCAGTATCAAATTGAACGACTGGTTCCCTTTCCGCGGTGTTATGAATTAATCAGAGTAATAACAGGTAGTGTAATAAAAGAGTCGTGATTCAAGAGTCGTCAATACAAATGAGGACCTAGGCATTTATAGGCATAACAGGGCTAGCCGAGAACCTCGCAAACAGGTTAGGGCGATTCGACTGGCGAAAGCCACGGAGGCGCCGCGCATAGGTTTGGGTTTTCGAAATGGTTCGGGACTGAGGAAAATGGCCGGGCCTGGTCTTCCGAGGGTCGAGGGCGTACGCGCTGTAGTTGAGCCCAGTAAGGAAAAGGAATTTTCCTTACACCACCCCCCTTCCGAGATGAGACTACCCACATCCGGGACACGTCGTCGGTGTAAATAGTCCCTGACAACCAGGCCCCTAGATTGCAGGAAAATTTTCCTGATTCAGGAAAAAAACAGAGTTGTTGCTGGTACCAGTCCTGATTGTCCAGGATTTTTCGAAAGGCATTTCCTGTTTTTTCAGCATTTTTTGGGGTCAACTCTGATTGCTAAGCAAAGTTTTCTTAACGAATCCTGAAATTTCAGCTTTGCAACGAAACTGTACTTGTTTCCGTCCAAGCGTGACCTGGGGGCCAGCAGAGATTTCCAAGGTTCTGGCCCGCCCTCCAGGCTCTGTGAGGGCGCTTATTGGCCCTTCACAAATTCGTGGCTCGACGCGTGGGGGCAGTGTGAGGGAGGGCACTTGGTCCTTAGCCAAATTTTGGCCGATGTGTTCCTTAGAGCTTTGTATGGGCGAAATTTCCCTCAGCCCCTGCAATGTCGCCCACCTGACCCGATTCACCCTGCAAGCATAAATTCGCTACTGACATGCGCTAAGAACCTCTAAGAAATCAGGAAAAACTCCATAAGTAACTCTGTCTGCTCAGGAAAAAAATATTTAGGAGTCCTGATTCACGAGGAATTTTTTTGGGACCAACCCTGAAAAATCAGAGAAAAACTCAGGGGGGATCCTGAGCGATCAGGGCTCCTAAACCAATCTAGGGGCCTGCTGACAACTTTGTGTTCACCGAGCATAGCTGCGGGGACCCAGAGGTCGTCATCAATCGTGCGATCGACGACCATCGTACAAGGAAATCAACGGCAGCTGTATCGCGAGAACCTCGTACGCGATGAGCGAGAATTTTCGATGGCGATCGTCGGCTCGGGTACTGGGTTGACCGTAGGATTGATATGTTGACGGTCGAGATCAGTTGTATTCGGGACGAACGGTCGCAGGAGGCTGACGTGGAATGAATCGTGAATGCGCCAGTCAACCGGTAGTTGCAGCTGGGCGGTGACGGGAGTCACCATGCGGATTATGCGGAATGGGCCGCAAATCTTGGTCGTAGTTTATTTGGGAGGGGAATCCCTAAATTTCGAGTGTCGAGCAGGACCAATTGCCAGGGGCAAGGTGTAAGTCACGGCGTCGTCGGTCAGCTTGATGCTTGGCCGTTGGTTGGCTTTGAGGATGGCATCGGCAGCTTTTTGCTGAGACTGTCGGAGGTTTTCGACGAATTGCTGCGATCTGGGTGCCGGATTTTCTATCGGTGGCGATAGAGGGGTTGTCGGGTCTATCCCGTAATTAAGGAAGAACGGGGAGAGTAGTCGTGGCTGATGGGGCGTTGTTGTACGCAAACTCCAATGGAAGAGAATCTTCCCACTGGGGCCGGGGTCTGTGCAAGTTGTACGAATCAGCTGCTCCATCGTCTGATTGGTGCGCCCAGTCTGGCCGTCCGATTGCGGGTGGTATGCCGTGGGCAGATGTAGACGTGTGCCGTACTGCTGCCAGGTTTTTGTCCAGAAATTGGACGTGAACCGAGGGTCGCGATCGCTGATGAATTGCCGAAGGGATGCTGTATAGCCGCACGATGTTCGTGAGAAACAGCTTCGCTGTCTGCTCGGCAGTGATTGTCGTCTTGCAGGCGGCGAAGTGTGCCATTTTGGTCAAACGGTCAACGACGACGAGAATCGCGTCATTACCGCTTGGAACCAGCTGGCAGGCCAGTGACGAAATCCATCGTCACTTGTTGCCAGGGTCGGCTGGGTGGCTCGAGCAGCTGCAGTAATCCCGCGGGTCGAAGTCGTGACGACTTCATGCGTTGACACGTGGCGCAGGAGGTGACGTACTGCTGCACGTCCGTCGGCAAATCGGGCCAGTAATAATTACGGCTCAGTAGTTTGGCCGTTTTGTCCGATGCCGTAGTGACCCGAGAAATTCGAGTTCGTGTGCCTCCTGTATCATAGCTCACCTAGGGTACAGTAAGCGGGAACCCAAATCCGATTGGTACCAATTTTAGGTAATAAGCCCCCTGCTTGACTGTCCAGTTGGGATGGACTGTTAGTCGTGAAGAATGGGTCGGTACTGTATCCGTGGGTAAATGTCCAGTTAGCAGCGGATTTGTTAGGGTGATTAGGACAGCGGCGGTATGTACTGAAGGGCGGGTCAGTGCGTCGGCGATGTGCTGGCCCCTCGTTTGTAGGTGACTCTGTAGTGGAAATTCGACTCGAGATAATCGAGCAAGCGAATCTGTCGGGGGTTGAGTGTCAGTTGGGCGCGGATGAACTGTAGCGATTTGTGGTCTGTTCGGACTGTCACATCAGCGCCCGTCAGGTAGCAGCGCCAAACCTTGAACGCGTGAACGATGGCGAGTAACTCCTTGTCGTGGACGGGATAATTTCGCTCGGCCGGATTCAGCTTTCGTGACTCGTAGGCGATGGGTTGAAGGCCTTCGCCGAAGTCCTGTAACAGTACTGTGCCAACAGCCAGGTCGCTAGCGTCGGTGATGAGTTCGAACGGACGGTGAGGATCTGCAATGCGAAGAACCGGAGGTGTTGTCAGGAAAAGTTTGAGTTGGTCGAACGCAGCCTGCTGCTCTCCCCCACTCATAAAACTTGCCTTTCTTCAGAAGATCCGTGAGAGGGGAAGTTACCCCCACCATGTTCGGGATGAATCGGCGAACGTAATTCACAAACCCCAGGAAACTTTGAAGTTCGCGGAGATTAGCCGGCGACTTCCAGGCTTGTATGGTCGCGATTTTTTTCGGGTCAATTTTAACACCGTCGATGGAAATAACGTGTCCCAAAAACTCCAGTTCTTGTTTCTGAAACTCACACTTAGAACCCTTGGTGATGAGTCGATGCTGCTGCAGGAGAGCGAAGACTGCTTCCAAATCCCTCAAATGTGCTTCCCGGGTAGTGCTGTATATCAGGATGTCGTCGAGGTACACAATGACGCATTTATCCAGCAGCGGCCGAAAAAATTCGTTCATGGTTAACTGGAATGTTGAAGGCGCGTTGGTTAAGCCAAAAGGCATGACCGTGTACTCGTAACTCCCGTATCGGGTTCGGAACGCCGTCTTGTAGCAGTCAGCTTCGTTGACACGGATCTGGTGGTAACCGCCTCGCAGGTCAATTTTCGAAAAGAACTTTGCCCCACGAAGTTGGTCGATGAGTTCGTCGGCACGCGGAATAGGATAGCGAGACTTGATGGTAACCCGGTTCAAGGCGCGGTAGTCAATGCACATTCGTAGACCGCCATCTTTCTTCGGGGTGAACAGTATCGGAGCTGCGAACAATGAAGTACTGGGGCGATCGAAACCTTTCTCGAGCAGGTAATCCAGCTGGCGTCGAAGTTCATCCAGCTCTGGCTGAGTCAGCCTCCACTGTGTTCGAACCGTTGGTTGCGCGCCGGCTCCGACTGGATTTTATGGTCGTGGTCTCGCTCGGGTGGCAATCTTGGCGGTAGGTCGTCCGGAAAGATGTCGGCATGCTTGCGGATCAATGTCGCCAAGTCGTCGGGGACTGCCGCGCAGAGTTTGTCGATGTCGGCCGGTGCGCTGACAGCCGTGGATGCGATCCATCGGACGGCATACAGTTGTGCTCCGCGAATCATCGCTCGCTTGATAGTAACCGCGCTGACTGTCGCAGAATCTGGATTGTTCCACTTCAGAAGTCGACGCCACTCGCCACTCCATTTGATTCGACAGTCACCCGTCCGCCAATTGATGCTCGGGTTGTACTCGCGCAGCCAATCGCGTCCCAGCAGCATGTCGCAGCCGTCCAACGTTGTCGCCAGCATCTTCGTCGTAAAGCTGAAATTTTCGCCGCATGTAACTCGCACGTGAGGTACTCGCTCCCGAATTGCCAGGGGTGTGTCATCGACCAATCGCGCGTCGATTTCAGGCAGACACCGCTCCAGTTGCAGTCGCAATTTTCTCGCTTTCGTCACATCCATTAAACTGTGGCTTGCCCCGCCATCAACAAATATTTTTATGCGGGTATCACCAACTCTCTCTTCAACCAGCACAGGGTGGTCAACCGGTTCACCCCCCTTATTCAGCCAGGAATGGTCGATAGCCCAAATCGGCACTATAACCTGGTGGGGGTGGTGGCGTTTGGGCGACGCAGTCAAGTCAGTAGGTGGCCCATCTGCTACTGACGATCTCCATTTCCCGACTGCTTCTTGTCGTTAGGTAAGTTCTTCTTCAGCTGCGGGCAGTCCCTCACCATGTGACCCGGCTGGTTGCAGTGGAAGCAGGTCCCCGAAAATACTCGGGCTGCAAACACGTCCACGCCGTTGATTGATGTGTGTTGGGGCTAGCCTCGAAAGCGATTTCCCTCCCGGAAACCCGCTCTCGCGAGTCCACGTCGCGCGTCCAGCGCATCCACCATGCGAACAATCTCGTTGAAGGTCGTCGGGGCTCGCAGGACGATTTCTTGTTGAATCTCCGGTTTGAGTCCGCCCACGTAGCGATCGATTTTCTTGTCCTCGCTGATCCCTCCGATTTGGTCGCAGATGGCCAGAAACGATGCCGTGTATTCTTGGACTGGGCCCAACTGTCTCCACATCCGAAGCTTTGTGCGAGCATTTTCGCGCATGGATATGTGCTCGAATCTGCTTTTCAACGCTTCGCCCCACGCTTTCCACGTGCGGATCATGGTCGAGACAAAGATTGGTTCTGCCGTTGCCGTTGATGAACTCATCTCCCCAGCTGCCGCCCGTTGATTCCCTGCCGGAGCTCCTCCCTCGTCAAGATGCATGCGCCACCAGTCGAGTGCCGGTCCCCTCAGCAGCGACACAGCCAAGTTGACACGTGAGGCGTTGTCATTAATACTTGCTGCCGTGAAGAAGATTTCCATGGCGAACAGCCACCCGCTCACGGTGGTCGTCATGTGTGTCGGGTTGAACGGTGGGGGCATGGGAGGCTTGATTTTAATGGCCGTCCGCGGTTCGCTTTGGATTTCTTCAACTGCTTCAGGTGTCGCCGACGCCTTCGCTTCGCTCGAAACATCCTCGTCTCAGGTTACAGGCCGCTCCTGACGCGATTCACCCCGCGTCTGGCGAAATGACGAGTTTTCGTTGCGCAGCGACTGAACTTCGCTTCCCAGCGACTTGAATTTATCCGCGAGTTGTTGAAGTTGGGCCTGTAGTGTTGTCACTGTAGCCGCCCTGGCTTGCAACTCGTCAAACTCCTCCTGAGTCACGTTCCTAACACTACGACGGGCAGAGGTTTCCGGCGTGCTAGTCATGCTGGAAATTTTACCTGACAGATCTGAGGGTGCACACGCTTTTAGTTGGAGGAGCTTTAACGAGCTCGCCTACCAACTGCTGGCCAACCCTCTATTCTGTCGGGTCCTCTCCCGATATAAACGGACTACTTTACGGAAGACTAAGCGGGCAGGAACGGGGCTCTGATACCAGCTGTTATGAATTAATCAGAGTAATAACAGGTAGTGTAATAAAAGAGTCGTGATTCAAGAGTCGTCAATACAAATGAGGACCTAGGCATTTATAGGCACAACAGGGCTAGCCGAGAACCTCGCAAACAGGTTAGGGCGATTCGGCTGGCGAAAGCCACGGAGGCGCCGCACATTAGGTTTGGGTTTACGAAATGGTTCGGGACCGAGGAAAATGGTTGGGCCTGGTCTTCCGAGGGTCGAGGGCGTACGCGCTGTAGTTGAGCCCAGTAAGGAAAAGGAATTTTCCTTACACGCGGAGTGGTTGAACGAGTTTTGTCTGTCCCGCGTTACAATCACTTGGCGGTCCCACGACGGGAGATTTGCTCCTGACCAGGGCTTATGTTAGGTTTTTGAACAACTCTGGCGCTCAGGGCTCCCTTCAAAATTCTCCCTAAAAACCCAGGGTCCGAATCTGCACTGCCCTTTGTTTTTAGGGCCAGCAGAATAAATGCTCGGAGGACGCACATTTTCAAGGATCTTACTTGAGATTCTTCCACGCTCTGTGGTTGGGTACTAGGAGGAGGACGGGTGTTAGGAGAGCGGGAGAAACTTGTATTCTAGGGAGGGCACTGGAAGGGGGGGTGTAGGTAGTGAAAAAAATTAGGGTCGCTGAAAAATCTCCTCGGATTTTTCAGGGTCGCTATGAAAACTTCCCAGATTCTGTCAGGGCTGGTTCAAAAAGAACCTGGAACCTATCAAACAGTGAAATTGATGAATAGAGAGAGAGAGTACACAAACATATACCTAACTGTTGTACTCTCTAGAAGATGACCCTATACAGTCTATACAAGCATGATAACTAAACATGTTTGACACACCCCCTGGACTGCATAGGGGAATGTTCTAGACAAGCAGCTCAGGGTGGCACTACTAGTCCAGCCTCTGAGACAAGGGTCTAAAAGACCAGTCAGAAGGAGTACAGGCAAGGCAAGAACTAGTACAGGGCGGCACTACTAGTCCAACCACTGTAAGAGGACACAAGTCCAGTCTGAGTGTACACACAGATATATAGGACAGTACAGAGTCAAGGCCCGAGTAAGTGAGAGACTACAGGAACCAGACCAAGCTGCACACAGTGCCGCTGATGATCTTTAGGCGCAAGCGCCTTCGTAAAGATATCAGCTGTGTTGGCACCGGAGGCTAAGTGTACTACGCGAGCCTGGCGACGCTGCTGTAGCTCACGCAGGAGGAAGTACCGCAGCTGGATGTGCTTCGCTCTGCCCTCGAGTCGAGGCTCCTGACACAGGAGGATCATGGCCCTGTTGTCAGCGTACAGGACCGGGGCAGAGCTAGGCCGCTCACCTAAGTCAGTGAGCAAGAAGGTCAGCCAGCGGAGCTCCTGTGCCGCCATGGCACCGGCGTAGATCTCGGCCTCACAGCTGGACTGGGCAACAGACGAAGAGCGGGTAGCTCTCCACGAGACAGCACCTGAACCAAGGCTAAAGCAGTAGCCCTGGGAAGACCTGAGCGTCTCGGCGTCGTCTGCCCAAGAAGCGTCTGTGTGTCCAGTAAGGACCACTGGCCTGCGTCCGCCTAGCACTAACCCCATGCCCGATGTACTTGCAAGATAACGCAAAACCCTCTTAGCGGCAGACCAGTGCTGAGGTCGGTGCCTGCCTGTGGCCACGAAACGAGCCAGGATGCTGAGAGGGTATGCGAGATCTGGGCGAGTGCAAGTCATCAGGTACATGAGGCAACCCACTAGCTCAGCGTAAGGACCACTGGGATCTACCGACTCCTCAGGAACTGGAGCGGAGAGTCTGTGGTCCAGAGGAAGAGGGGTGGGCTGTGCGGAGGAGAACTGAAGGCCGAACCTCTGAAGGACCTGGCGCACCAAGTGTGACTGAGTCAGGGTGATGGTGCGCGCGGCTCTGTCCCTGGAGATCTGCAAGCCAAGGTAACGGCGCAGCTCTCCAAGGTCAGTGCACGTGTGTCTCTTCAGCAGCTCTGCCTTCACGGAGGCCAGTGCGTCCCTGTCAGCAGTGGCAAAGACCAGGTCGTCTACGTAGACGAGGATGTAGAACGGAGTCGAGCCAGCACGAACGAAGAGCGAGGGGTCTGCAGAGGACGGAAAGAACTGCAGGTCAGCAAGGGTAGCACGCAAAGTGTCGTGCCACTCACGAGGCGCCTGGCGCAGGCCGTAGACTGGCCGCCGCAGAAGCCACTGGGTCCCAGGGGGGAAGGTGCCAGTAAAGCCCTGAGGGCGACGCAGGTAGACCTGCTCGTGAAGGCTGCCCTGAAGAAAGGCAGTGGAGAAGTCGAGGGAGTGAAGCTCGTAGTCACGCTGAGCCGCTACGTGTAGCAGCACCCGAAGAGTAGTCATCTTCGGGGTAGGAGCGAAAGTCTGAAAGAAGTCCACCCCCTCGCGCTGACTGAAGCCTCTAGCCACGTAGCGCGCCTTGAACACAGGCGGCTCTCCAGGAGGGCGCTTCACCTTGAAGAGCCAACGGCCATCGACCACGTTCACCCCAGGTGGGGGAACTGCGTCGACGAAGGTGCCGGTGGATCTCCAAGATGCCATCTCCTGCTCCATGGCAGCTATCCACTGAGAGGCCCAGGGTCCCGAAACCGCCTCAGCGTAAGTACGAGGGGTCGGGATGTCGAAAGCGTCTGGGTCACCCTCAGGGACTAGCAGCATGGAACAGAGATGGGGAGCAGCCTCGGACAGGAAAGCAAGCTCAAACTGGCGGTCCTCCAGGACGTCACTGCCGAGGGCAGGAGCACCCCCGACAGACGGAGGACAGGCAGGGTGAGAGACCAGAGCGGTGGCGTAGTCAAGGCGGCGGGTAGAGGCGAAGTCAGCGACGAGGGCGTCAAGACTCGACACGGGAACAGACGGGTCGGTAACGAGAGAGGCAAGGACCCGAGGAACAAGAGGACGAGCGGCACGAAAGGAGTCGGACAGAGGAGGAGACGCAACGACAAGAGAAGACGGAGGAGGAGACAGGAGGAGGGGAGGTCGAGACGCGTGGGAACGGAGCAACATAGGGTGAGAGCGCGGGACAGGGGAGACAGGACGAGCACGAGAGGGGCGGCGAGACCAGACGTGTGAGGGCGGCGTCGGGTCAGGAGACAGAGGAGGGGACACAGGAGGGGAACGAGGGGGAAGACGAGCCGGGGACGAGTCTGGCAGAGGGAACACGGGGCCGTAGACGGGAAGAGGGGGAGACGGCAGGAGAGGAACAGGCGCAGGGTCAGGAGACGGAAGGCCGAGCAGACGGAGGGCGGACACAGGCGGGGACTGCTGCTGCGGCGACACAACACCAACACCAGGGCCACAAGCTGCGCGACGGCTACCTCCCGAACCCTCCACACCTGCACCCCCAGAAGGGACACCCCCAGAGTCCACAAACGGCGGCAGCGACGACAGCGACGGCGGCGGCGGCGGCTGCAGCGACGGCTGCGACGGCGGCGGCGGCGGAGACGACGGCTGCAACGGCGGCGGCGGTGGAGACGACGGCTGCAGCAGCTGCGGCGACGGCGGCTGTGGAGGCGGTGGAGGAGGAGACACCGGGGGAGGGACAGACGGCGAGGACTGCGCCGGAGGACTACCAGAGTCAGAAGACTCGTCGACCGGGACGACCGACGGGAGGGGGGTGACGTGAGACACACCAGAGGGGCCGGACGGGGGGGCGGGGGGGGGGGAGGGGCAGGGACCACCAGGGAGGGAGGAACCAGGAAAAGGGGGGGAGTAACCGGGGGACCACGGTGGGGAAAGCGGCGGTAGAAGGAGACGGACTCGTCAAAGGTGACGTCGCGAGAGTGAAAGAAGCGGTGAGACGGCGGGTGGTAGAAGTGCCAGTCGGACGCAGGGGAGGGTGCGGGCAGTGAGCTTGTCCGTGCCAGAGGCACGAACGTGAGCAAGGCAGCCCCAGACGCGGAACGCAGACGCGTCACCAGGGGACCCGGTCCACAGAAGGGTCGGCGAAACCTGCGGCCGCTGGGGGTGCGGCCACAGGTTAAGCTGGTGAGCGGCGTAGCGCACGGCGAACGGCCACAGAAAATGGGGTGCACCGGCGTGGATCATGGAGGTGCGAGCCACCTCCATGACCAAACCGATGCGTCGCTCAGCGACCCCATTCTGCTGCGGGGAGTCCGGCAGGGTAAACGTCTGGGTGATGCCCTCCGCACGACAGAAGCGACCAAGGACACCTGAGGCAAACTCGCCACCCCGGTCGGAGTGAAGGCGCAAGGCAGGGAGACCGCGGTGGACACGAGCAGAGACAAGCCAGGGGATGAGAACGTCAGGCACGTCGGCCTTCCGCTCCAGGGGGAAGACGGTGGTGTAACGCGTGAAGTCGTCGACAAGCACTAGGAAGAAGCGCTCGCGACGCGGCCCATGGACCGGGGCTGGGCCCCAGACGTCCATGTGCAGAGTCTGCAGTGGTGCGGTGGTAGGGGGAAAAGAGGAGGAGTGAGGTGCACGGCGGAGCCGGCCCTCGACACAAGGCGTGCACGGTGGGGCGGGGGAGGAGGGAAACTCGGGGAACGAACCGGGGAGACCAAGGACGAGACCGTGCTGGGACATGTGACGCAGACGTGGGAGTGCAGGGTGACCAAGGCGGTGGTGCCAAAGGAGAGTCGGGTGAGTGAGGGACCGACAGGAGCACGCGGCTGCAACCTGGGTGGACGCAACTACCGGGGGGGAAGACCCAGCCGGGGACGGCGCGGTGTCAAGTGTGAACAGGCCGGACACCGGGTCCCGGGGGAAAGTGGTAAGGGGGGCACCAGTGGCGGCCTCGGTACAGACAGCATACCGCTCGTGACCAGGGAACGTAGTGGTGACGCCAAGGTCCTGGAGGCAGCCGACACCAACTAGGTTCCTGGAGAACGAGGGGATATGCAGACCTGTGAGAGTGCCCGAAGGAACCGCCGGACAGGGAAGGGAGGTGGAACTGCGGGCAACGACGGGACCACCGGAGGGGTCAGCAAGAGTAACTGCAGCGGGAACAGGCAGCGGCGTCAGCGTCGTGGAGTCGCGGAAGAAACACCGGGAGGCGCCAGAGTCCAAGGTGAAGGAAAGCGCAGCAGTCGCGCGAGGCAGCAGTGAAGCGGTGGAAGCACCAAGGCTAAGCAAAGCAGGAGATCCTACGCCTGACGCAGCAGGGGAGTCTACGCTAGGCACCGCTACACTAGGCAACACGGGGTAATAAGAGGGAAGCACACTAGAGTCATCAGCATACATCACATGCAAGGCCGCTACAATGGCATCCATGTCCAAGTCAAAAATCCTAATGCTACGCCTAAGCAAGCTGTGCCAGTCCGGGAGGTCGGGCGCCGGGCCAAAGCGCTGGCGGAACAGGTCGTCCAGGCGACGAAAACAGCGAGGAGTAGAATGACCGATCTTACCGCAAACGAAGCCGCGGCGAGGACCGGTCTGGATCTGGTACTGACAGGGCCCGCCTCCAGAACCACCACCCGGTGCACCACCACGCGCACGACCACCACCAGCTCCAGGCCACCCAGGTGGGAGAGTACTCGCCTGCCTCGTCTGCGGCGGCTGCTGCGGCTGCTGCGAAGGCTGCGGCTGCGGCGACTGCTGCTGCTGCGGTTGCTGCAACTGTGGAGGCAGCGGGGCAGCTGGACCGGGCAGGGTCCCCACGTCCGCACCGGCACCGGACGACCCGCCTCCACCACTACCCCCACCCGCACCCCCGCCGCCTCCGCCGCTCCCAACCTTGGGGCGGCGGCCCTTCGCCGAGCGGGACTGCACTGCAGCAGCAGTCTCAGCCACAGCGACAGAGCCGTCGGAGAAGGTACACTGAGCGGGGGCACAACCCTGAAAGATAGGGACCGGTACTGTACCGCTCGCCAGGGCTATGGAGCGGTGACGAGTCTCTATGGCCGTCAGGGTGTCAACAAAGTCGGTGAGGGTGAGAGCAGCAGGGTGGATGCTAAGGAACTGGTCGCGGGCGGCGGCAAGGCGGTCAGGTAGGCGGGTGGCAAGGAGGTAGAGGGTAGAGGTCATGGGAGGCTGGTGGACTCTAAGCTGAGCATCAGTGCAGGCAGCGCGCCAGGCCTCATCTATCGAGCGCAGGTGGGCAGCGAGGTCAGAGACAGTGGGGAAAGACGCCAGGTCAGGAAAGAGCAGGGGAAGGATCAGGCGACCCACTGAGGCAGCAGGAGGGGTAGAATAGCGCTTGATGACAGCATCGAGGTAGGCCTGGGCGGTAGGAATGGTTCTAAAGCGAGGGCGCTCAGTGGGGGGGAGGGCATTGCTAATGGCGAGCTGAGCAAGGGCATCGCGGGAAAGCCAGACAGAGCGGGCAAGGGCAGCAGCGGCAGTGGACTCGCACTCAGCGGGCGTGGGATCAGCGGGCAGCACAGCAGGGGGGTCAGGGCAGGGGAGCATACCGTCTAGGTGTGCAGAAAGCGGGTGGCCGTCCTGCCGCTGGCCAGTGAGGTGGCGGCGAAGGTCAGCCAACCACGCCTCGAACTCCAGAGGCTGACCCTCAACATCAAAACGAAGCTCAGCAGCCATGAGGGGCAGTGGAGGACAGTGCAGTGCGGTGCAGTGCGATGCAGTGCGGTGCAGTGCGGTGCAGTGCGATGCAGTGCGGTGCAGTGCGGTCCAGTGCGGTGCAGTGCGGTCAGTGCGATCCAGTGAGGTGCAATGCGATGCAAGGCGGGGCAGGAAAGTGCAGGAGGGTGCAAAGTGGTGCGGGGAACGGGGGACAGTACCAGGAAGTATGGAGGTCCGGGGCAGGTGCGTCGGGGCCGGGCAGGCACGACAAGGCCGGGCGGCGGCGACGGGGCCGGGCGGCTGCGACGGGGCCGGGCGGCGGCGACGGGGCCGGGCGGCAGCGACAAGGCCGGGCGGCTGCGACGTGGCCGGGCGGCTGCGACGGGGCCGGGCGGCTGCGACGGGGCCGGGCGGCGGCGACGGGGCCGGGCGGCAGGGACGGGGCCCGGGCAGGCCACAGCAGGGCCGGGCAGGGGCGACGGGGCCGGGCGGGCGAGCAGGGGCCGGGCAGGTGCGACAGGGGCCGGGCAGCCGCGACAGGGGCCGGGCGGGCGCCACGCGGCCGATAGGCCGCGACGGGGCCGAGCAGGGGCGACGGGGCCGAGCAGGGGCGACGGGGCCGAGCAGGGGCGACGGGGATGGGTAGGGGCGCGACGGGGCCTGGAGGGGCGTTACCAAGCCCAGGTAGGGGCGCGACGGGGCCTGGGGGGAGCGCAATGGGGCCCAGGAGGGGCGCTACGGGGCCTGGGAGGAGCGCGACTGGGCTAGGGAGGGGCGCGACGGGGCCTGGGAGGAGCGCAATGGGGCCCAGGAGGGGCGCTACGGGGCCTGGGAGGAGCGCGACGGGGCCCTGGAGGGGCGCTACCAGGCCCTGGAAGGGGCGCGACGGGGCCTGGAGGGGCGCTACGAAGCCCTGAAAGGGGCGCGACGGGGCCTGGAGGGGCGCTACGAAGCCCTGGAAGGGGCGCGACGGGGCCTGGGAGGAGCGCAATGGGGCCCAGGAGGGGCGCTACGAGGCCTGGGAGGAGCGCGACGGGGCCCAGAAAGGGGCGCAACGGGGCCCAGGAAGGGGCGCGACGGGGCTAGGGAGGGTCGCGACGGGGCTAGGAGCACGACGGGGCCCAGCTAGGGGGCGAGCGGAAGCGTGAGGGGGGGGGGGGGGGGGGATCCTACCTACGCGTGATACCATATCAAACAGTGAAATTGATGAATAGAGAGAGAGAGTACACAAACATATACCCAACTGTTGTACTCTCTAGAAGATGACCCTATACAGTCTATACAAGCATGATAACTAAACATGTTTGACAGAACCAATCAGGGCTGGTCTGAAAACTACCTTCTAACTTCAGTCAAGTCAGGGCAAATGCCCTGATAACATATGCCCTGCTCCAGACTGCTCTGGCACACCAACCAGGGGTGGAACTGTATGAGTGGAACCCTGAGGGCGTGTCCACACGAGTTATACGGTTCCACCCTGTAGAACTCCAGTCATACGAGTTCCACATACGCGTTATAGTGAGAGAACCATCCACTATTTTAGGATACTATCCATCGACGGGCATGGATTTCATCATCCGACAACCCTGCTAGTACTCGCCTTGGGATTGCCTCCTGTCAAACACCTCCACTGTTCCATGTAGCGTACCATACATACCGCAGAAGCTCCTCCCTCTCCTCAATCCGCGGCTGCTTCTTCTGTTGGCGGTTGGATCGATTTAGCTTGAGTTCACGCGTATTACCTTCACACCATCGGCAGTGAGTTACCGGTTTCTCGCGAAAAACGTTCTGTCAGGTCGGCTTGACGGGAGCGGTGGGCTTGACGCCGTCAAGGAAGCGGGTGTGACGGAAGCGGCGGGTTCGACGGAAGCCATGTCATCATGAAGGCTCCAGGTTCCAAGTCTGCTGGGCGGTCGATCCGCCAGCAGAAGCGGCGACGCGTGCCGTTGTCTACCATCGCTATAGTCACAACCTGCGTCGCGCTTTTCTTTGTCTCCATCCTTTTCCGCCGAACGGTTTCCCGCGCCGCTGCAGCCGCGACCGCCGGTGCTAGTATCGACAGCCTCGATAGCAGAAGTAACGGGTTAGCCTCGGAAGTAGCGGACATAAGCCGGCGGATTCAGTTAACGTCACCGTCAACGTCATCTTCCTTGTCGGGTTCCTCCTCTGCCTCTTCTTTCCTCAGAGGCACAACTGGTCAAGCTAATGTCGCAGGAACTTCAGGGGTCGCCGGCCAATCAGGCGATTCGCAAGGGGATTCCAGCGACGCTGGCCAGCGAAGCGCGATCGTCGCTGGGCCGCGACGGGTGGTTGGATCCGGCGACGAGGATGTGAATCAAAATGCCGATCTAGGAGAAACCGGTTTAGGCGGAAATGGCGGGAAGCCGGGGGAAGGGAACAAACTGCATAACGAGGATGCCAATAACGAAGCCTCTAACTGGGCGACACTCTTTGAGGAAAAACCTCTTAGTTCAGGCAGCAAGGGCAACGTCGCTTTAGCAGCGGCTGCAGCCGCGGCTGCTGCGGACGACGATGACGATGCTGACGTGGATGCGGACGGCGCGGAGCACGAGAGCGCGACCCCCGCGAAGCTTCCTGTCCGTTTCCTCCCGCTCACGCACGATATGGGCGATGAGGAGCTCTTCTGGCGCGCCTCCATGGTCCCCCTGCGCCGCCGCAGGCGCGCGCGCGGAACTGGTGCGGGGGGGGGAGGCGGAGGCGGAAGCGGGGGAGCGGAAGTGGAGGGAGGGGGAAGCGGAGGCGTGGGTGGCGGCGGAAGGCGCAGTTTAGGGCCTGCGAAAGTGGCGCTACTGTTTAACAGCGCGGGGAAGATGCCGTTTGCCCCGCTATGGGCGAGATGGTTGGAGGGGCACGAGGACAGGGTGTCAGTATACGTGCTAACTGACGAAGCGAAAATAGATAAGTCGTTGTTGCCCCCTATTTTCCGGGGTAGGTTCGTGCCGGATAGGTCTCCTGACGAGTCAGCTTCTATTGCGTCTAAGACCGTACACATGAGCACAGTGGATGGCATGCGTCGTCTGCTAGCGAACGCGCTTTTGGACTTTTCTAACGAGCGGTTTGTGACTGTATGCGAGCTCTGCATCCCTATTCATAACTTCACATTCGTTTATTCCTACCTCCTCTCTCCACATCACTCCTCTTCCTCCTCCTCCCACTCCTCTTCCTCCTCGTTTCAATCCGGATCGCTGACGTCCTCCTCCGCGTTACATCTCCCCGGTACGGTTTCATCTGCGCCGCGTAGTTACATCCCGTCGAACGACGTGTCAGGGGAGGGCGGGAAGGACCGTTTCAACCCCAACTGCTTTGAGCCGATGCTGAGCGTCGAGCAGTGGCGCAAGGGAGGGCCGTGGATCGGACTCACAAGACGGCTAGCGGTGCAGGTGTGTGTATAGGGTGGGGCTGTGTGGAAGAGTATGCGTGGCTGTCGGCGTGTGATGGAGCCCAGCCGCTTTGAGCCCATTTTGAGTGTTGAGCAGTGGCGCAAGGGAGGGCCGTGGATCGGACTCACTAGACGATTGGCCGTGCAGGTGCATGTGTGCGTCTGTGTGTGGGGGGAAGGGGGGAGAAACAGTGTGTGTGTGAGGGAGGGGGGGAGAAACTGTGTGTGATTGTCGGCGTGTAGAATGGAGCCCAGCTGCTTTGAGCTGATGCTGAGTGTTGAGCAGTGCAGTGGCGGAAGGGCGGGTCGTGGATTGGACTCACAAGAAGACTGGCCGTGTAGGTATGTGTGAAGAGAGTGTGTGTGAAGAGAGCGTGTGTGAAGGAAAGAGAGTGTGTGAAGAATGTGCGTGTGAAGAGAGTGTGTGGTGAAGAGAGTGTGTGTGAGGAGAGTGTGTGTGAAGAGAGTGTGTGGAGAGTGTGTGTGTGAAGGAAAGAGTGTGTGAAGAGTGTGTGAGTGTGACAGCAGGCATGTAGAATGCATCCCAGCCGATGCTGAGCGGGAGGAATCAAGGCCATGGATTGGACTCACGAAAAGACTGCCCGTGCAGGTGTGTGTGCAAGTGTGTGTGCAAGTGTGTGTGTGCAAGTGTGTATGTGCAAGTGTGTGTGTGCAAGTGTGTGTGTGCAAGTGTGTGTGTGCAAGTGTGTGCGTGCAAGTGAGTGTGCAAGTGTGTGTGTGCAAGTGTGTGTGTGCAAGTGTGTGTGCAAGTGTGTGTGTGCAAGTGTGTGTGCAAGTGTGTGTGTGCAAGTGTGTATGTGCAAGTGTGTGTGTGCAAGTGTGTGTGTGCAAGTGTGTGTGTGCAAGTGAGTGTGCAAGTGTGTGTGTGCAAGTGTGTGTGCAAGTGTATGTGCGCAAGTGTGTGTGTGTGCAAGTGTGTGTGCAAGTGTGTGTGTGCAAGTGTGTGTGCAAGTGTGTGTGCAAGTGTGTGTGTGCAAGTGTGTGTGTGCAAGTGTGTGTGCAAGTGTGTGTGCAAGTGTATGTGCGCAAGTGTGTGTGCAAGTGTGTGTGTGTGTGTGTGCAAGTGTGTGTGTGTGTATGCAAGTGTGTGTGTGCAAGTGTGTGTGCAAGTGTGTGTGCAAGTGTGTGTGTGCAAGTGTGTGTGTGTCAACGTTTTCGTGAAGAGTACTCGAAGAGGGAGTGTGAACAGAGGCCCCGTTTCTTCTCTCCCCTTCCCCCCACGCTACCACCGGGCGATCTCAGACACCAAATTTCAAGACAAACTCCCCTGCTTCTAAGCCCACTTCCCCGCACTTGACTGAAACCCCCCCCCCCCCCCCCCCCTTCCACCACCGCAGGTGATATCAGACACCAGATTTTACGACAAGTTAGCCGCCTGCTGTGTGCCCTTGCACGGGGTCTTCCCACGTGCTACTAAGCCCCACCCTTGACTCACCCTCCCTTGGCTCAAACCCCCCCTTACTGACCACCAGGTGATCTCACACACCAAGCTCTACGATAAATCCATGGCCTGCTGTGTGCCTGTGCGAGGGTCTTCCCCGCCTGCTTCCCCTCGGAGCACCACCTGCCCTGCCCTCTATAGTGCCTTCCTCTTCCACTTCCCGCTTCCCCTCTCATCCTCTCTAAACGTTCCCTCCTCCCGCCTTCCCCCCACCCTACCACCAGGTGATATCAGACACCAAGTTTTACGACAAGTTTGCGGCCTGCTGTGTGCCCGTGCGCGGGGTCTTCCCCGCCTGCTTCCCCTCGGAGCACTACCTCCCCTCCATTGTGCCCGTCCTAGTCGACCTCCCCCCTGTGGGGGACTTTGGCCCCTTTGTTGACGAGCTCTGGGCGGGGATAGGGGACGGGGGAGGCGGAGGGGGAGGAGGAGGGGGGGGGATGGGGGGAGGGGGGAGGAGGAGTGGGTGGGGGGAGGCCGCGGGTGGAGGGGGCGGGGGGTTGCGGGGGAGTGGGGAGGATTTGGCGAATTGGAGTTTGGTGTTTGAGGATTGGTGGACTCAGCCCAACTCGGGGCATGCTTATGTTTACAATGCCACTGAGGTGAGTTTGCTCTGTCTTCCTTCCTTACCTTCTCACTTATGTATCTGCCCTCTCCAATTGGCACTTGCACATTCGCACTCATCTTCCTTCTCCCAAACCCCCCTCCCCCCCGTCAACCCCTCCCCCCTTTCCCCTCCCCTCAGCTCGCTGCTCACCTCATTCTTTTCACGCGCCACGCCTCTGCCACTTGGGCAATCTCTGCCATCTGTTCGCCTCAGTCTCTTCTCAACCCCTCCTCCCCCCCTCTCTTCCCCACCCCCCCCTGTGCCCCTTCCCCCCGCCCCCCTTCCCCTCTTCCCAGCTCACCCCGGACCTCATCACTCTCATGCGCCACTGCCACTTCGGCAATCTCTGCCATCTGTTTGCCGGCCACTTCCACCCCTCTGCCCTCTCCCGCATGCTCTCTCTCGGGCCCAAGCTCAGCCTGTGGGAGGCCAGGAGTGGAGACATGTGATAGTGAAAAGAGGGGAGACAGACGATGAGTCTAGGAAGCGGAGCAGATGATAGTATAAGGAGGGGGGCACCTTACCTCTGCCCTCTCCCGCATGCTCTCTCTCGGGCTCAAGCTCAGCCTGTGGGAGGCCAGGAGTGGAGACATGTGACAGGGAGAGGAGGAGGGAAGACATGTGACAGGGAGAGGAGGAGGGAAGACATGTGACAGGGAGAGGAGGAGGGAAGACATGTGACAGGGAGAGGAGGAGGGAAGACATGTGACAGGGAGAGGAGGGAAGACATGTGAAAGGGAGAGGAGGAGGGAAGACATGTGACAGGGAGAGGAGGGAAGACATGTGACAGGGAGAGGAGGAGGGAAGACATGTGACAGGGAGAGGAGGGGAGGGGAGACATGTGACAGGGAGAGGAAGAGGGAAGACAAGTGACAGGGAGAGGAGGGGAGGGCAGCAGGACTGACGTTTCAAAAAAAGGCACTCTGATTTTGCCCCCCAAAAAAATTCCCGAGTCTGAAGGGTTATTTTTCATTTTTTCGCTACTCTGAAATCTGTGTCCAAGAGTCAACGAGTCTGAAATACTCAGGGTTCAGAATGTCGAATCAGAATCCTGCGCCCAAGTCGAAATCTTGTATTTTCAGAATTCACATTGTTGGAAATACCTCAAGGACTTCAGCGTTTCTGAAGTGTAACACCACACTTGAGTGAAGCCGTATCGAGTATGCGAGTCAACGGAGGTTACACGAGGAGGTTGGATGAAAGAACACGAAAGGACAAAAGACTCCAAGGGTCGCAACCGGAGGTTGCGACTGACCGTTACAACTACAAGGGTGGTAACCGAATCGACCATCGAGTCACTGTGCGACTCGATAACCGTTCCTTCACCAGTGTTGGGCTGAGAAAAAACCCTTTAGGATCTTTTGCAGAGACTAAGTCCCAACTGTAAAGACTTGAGACTTGGAGTAGTGCAGCGGAAGTTGAGGCAGTTGAACCCTTGTACTAGTATGTGAGAACAAGTGATTGATTAAAGAAACAAGCATACAGCAATATATAGTAGATAAGAAAGCAGTTGTAGAATACAGTTACAGGAACGGTTTATCGAGTCGCACAGCGACTCGATTGCCGCTTCGGTTACCATCCGTGATGTTGTAACGGTCAGTCGCAACCTCCAGTTGCGACCTTTCGAGTCCTTTCGCATTCTTTGTCCGCCCCCTCGTGTAACCTCCGTTGACTCGCGTGCTCCCCTGTAATCTTCCTCGAGTACAGTGTTACACTTCAGAAACGCTTAAGTTCTTTGAGATATTTCCAACACTCCCCTTCGTTTCTGGAGTGCTGGAGTGTTCAGATCCGGTGGCGTTTGTTTGCCCGGTTAGGAGCATGCAGTAGTCGAATTTTGCTTTCGCCAATTTCTTCGTCAGATAATCTGCGGCCATTTCTGTCGTCGGGCAGTAACTGAGTTGAAGTCTCCCCTTCGCGATTTCATCCTTGACGAAGAAGTACCGCAGGGCGATGTGCTTGGTTCGATTGGCGAAGCCGTCCTTGTTCGCGATTTTGATCGCAGATTGGTTGTCGCAGAGGAGTGAGAAGGCGGGCAGGGTCGCGATCTTCGCTTCTTCGAGTAACTCTCGTAGGTAGAGTCCTTCCTTGGTCGCAGTACAAAGGGCGATATACTCTGCTTCAGCCGAGGATAGTGCGATTAACTCCTGCTTGCTCGACTGCCAGGAGATAGTTCCGATAGGTTCTAGTCGGTAGATGTAGCCCGTCCTAGACCGTCGATTTTCGCTGTCTCCCGCGTGGTCGGCGTCGACGTATCCGAGTAGTCGTACGGACGGTGTTGTTGCCTTGCTGTAGGTAAGCCCGATCGTCGGCGTGGAGACGAAGTAGAGTAGCGCTCGATTGAGTTCTTCGAGATCTTCCTGTTGCGGATGCTTCAGATGTGTCGCCAGCTGACTCGCACTATAGGATAGGTCGGGTCGGCAGGTTACTGCTGCGAATAGTAGGCAGCCGAGCTTCTGTTGATACTCCTGGATTTGTTTCGCGGGGAGTTTTGTAGAGGCGCTGCCGTTGTTCCCGTAGCGGTAGGGAGTTGGGACCGCAGTCGGTGTTAGAGCGAATTTCTTCGCGACGGTGCTTGAGTACTTTCCAGCGTGTAGGTAGAACGCCGTGTCGTCTTCGACGACGTTCAGTCCTAGGTACTGCGTAACTTCGTCGGACACCGTGAGAGTTAAATCTTCTTTCAGCTCCCCTTCGAACCAGGTGGCGATGTCGGTAGTTGAGCCGATGTAGAGCAGGTCGTCGACGTAGACGATGAGCAGAACATACTCTCTTCCCTTCTGCAGTCGGTACATCCCTTGGTCATGCGGCAGCTGTAGGAAGCCGATTTTTACGAGACGGCTGTGAAGATGCTGCTGCCAGAGCCGCGGGGCTTGCTTGATCCCGTATAGGGATTTTGTCAGTCGGCATATTTTCGTGGGGTCGTCGATGAATCCGTGGGGTTGTTCGACGAAGATCTCAGCGTCCACAGGTGCGTATAGGAACGCATTCGCGACATCGATTTGGCGTAGTGGTAGTGTTTTTGTGGCCGCGACGGCGAGTAGGATGCGTAATGAGGTGTGACGGGAGACTGGGGCGAAGGTTTCTGTGTAGTCGGTTCCGTATCGTTGATCGAAGCCTCGTACGACCCATCGAGCTTTGAATCGTTCGATGGAGCCGTCTGAGTTGGTCTTGATGCGGTGCACCCATTTCCCCGAGAGAACGTTCTTCCTGTTGATGCTCGTTGCAGGTACCAGTTTCCATGTTTCTCGGTCTTGCAGAGCTTTTAACTCCTTTTCCATCGCTTCTTTCCATTTTGCCTTATGTTCCCCCCCAGAGCCTGCGACAAGGTTGAAGGCTCACGCGTAGAAGGCGGCGGCGGATGCTGGACGGAGACCCAGAGGCCTAGAATCTGGAGTCCCGTGGGTGTGTGTCGAGGGGAATTGTCATTCCCCGAATAAGCTGCTTCGTCACCGTCTTCGGGGTCAGGTAAGAAATTGGGGCCGATGCGTTCCGAAATATTCGTGTCGACGGGGTGCGGTGTAGCGTAACCTTGGTCGGCGAAGTGGTAAAAGGTGTCGAGGTTGTTGCTATCGAGGGGATTATCTTCATCGAGTGGAACAGGTATGGAACAGAATGGGAGTGGCCCGGCAGCTTCCGAGGCTCCAGGTACGTCTTCTTCTGCTGCGTCAGCCACGGCAGCATGGTCAGCGAAGGAGCGAAGGCCCGCGAAGCCGTCGGTGGGGTCGTCTGAGTTGGCAATGTTGTCCAGGTAATGCTGCAGCGTCAGTCGCTCGTAGAAGATAACATCACGTGATGCCACCGTATTTTTGTCTTGTATGTCGAGGATCTTCCACGCGTGAAAATGTTTGGCGATGCCGAGGTGTAGTCCCCACCGAGCTCGTTGAGTGAAGCGTCCTGCTCGAGCTGTGTGGGGTCTGTATTGTACCATGCAGCCGAAAACTCGAAGTAATTTTGTGCTGCCCCTTTTTCCCGTCCACAGCAGGTGTGGTGATGCGTTGTTGGGGAGCGATGACGAGGACAACAGGTTGTGCAGGTGGACTGCATGTGTCATCGCGTCTGGCCACAGTGCGTTGGGCAGCCTCATCCCCAGAAGCAGTTTTCGCATCGTCGTCTGCAAGGTCCGGTTCATGCGTTCTGCTACCCCCTGCTGCTGGTGAGCATAGGGCAGAGACACCAGGCGTCGGATTCCCCTTTCCGCGAGATAGGTCCTGAAGCGTTGTGACTGGTATTCCAGTGCACCGTCTGACTGGAAACTCTTGAGTTTGGTTCCTGACTCTCGTTCGGCGATTGGAAGCCATGTGGTGAATGCCTCGAAGGCTTGATCGCGCGTTTTGAGATTGAAGTGCCAGACGTATCTGGTTGCGGCGTCGATGAACGTGATGACGTAGTTGAAGTCGGCTTCGGTGTCGTCTCGAGGCATGTTTAGAATATCGCTGTAGACCTTTTCCATCGGAGCGTAAGTGGGTGCGCTTGGATTGTGATGGGCTGGGAAAGGTTGATGAGGAAGATCTGCTTCGGGGCATGTGAAACACCGTGCGCGTGGTCGTCGGAGTTCCTGGCCGCTCGTCGTCAGAAGGGCGTTGCGTTCTAACACTTCTGCTTGGATTGTTTGAAGTATCGTGCTGTTTGCAGGATGTCCGAGACGTTGGTGCCAGATGTCGTCGGGAGCGCGGTGACCGGGCGAGCGGTGGTAGATGTCGGCGTTGGAGAAGAACGCGACGACCGAGGCGGGACTTCGACAAGCTTCTCGTGTGGCGGGCATAAGTTGGTCTGCTTCGGTTGGCTGTCCTCGTGTCGCTGGTGGTGGTACTCGGCTGGGTCCTGCTGCCGATACTGCAGGTGATGGTTTTGTTGGGACACATGCGGGTACTTGTCTTTCTTGTCTGATAACTGCTAATGCTCGTGTTCTTTCTGCTGCAGGTATGGTGTTGGAGTGCCAGAAGCCGTCGCTGTCGAAGTCGGGATCAAGATCTGGCGGATGAGTCCAGGCGGCGAAGGATACGATACCGTCGCTGTCGGCAGTTCCGCGGTCGGGGACGAAGTCCAACACGAAGACACCGGACTTCAGGAGGGCACGACCGATGAAGAGACCGCCCTTCCCGTGGTAAAGTCGGAACTCGTTGGAGAAGGAGTCGCACTCCAGGTGAATCCCCTTAGCCATTAGTTGGCTTACGCTTAATAGGTTGTATCCCAGATTGTCGACGATGAGGACCTTGTTGAGCTGAAGAATAACGTTTGTCTCCATTGATTGTAACTGAACCACGCCTTGTCTATTTGTTTTCAGGTTTTCGTTGTTGGCGACGGTGATGACGACGTCACGGTTGAGGCGTCGCTCGTGTTGTACGAAGCGTCCGGAGGAGCACATGTGCTGACCGCAGCAACTGTCCAAGAACCAGGTGTTCCGCCCGGTGGGTTCGGCGTTAGCGACTGCAGCGTATGTCGGGTTGACCTGAAGTCCTTGCGAGCGCGGCGGCGGGAATTCCTCTTCGTCTGGTGCGTAAGTGGGTGGTGAAGCGGGTGCGCAGTTGTCGATGTGTACCATGCAGTTGATGATGTTGGGTGTTTGTTGTGCAGATGTTGAAGAGCGCCTTGGAGGACTTGCTTGAGTGGAAGCGACTTGTGGGTCTGCT